TTTTATAGAGATTGGAAAAAAAAAATCCCAATTTTACCAGGTGGTTCAGGACACAATATATTTAAAATCAAAATGGAATGAATTGATCTGAAATAAAGACTGAGATAGCCTAGTAAAGGAATCTGTACTCTCAACCATGAAAACCTGTTATTGCTCGTGTGGACTAATTTAAGCACATTCCTTTCACCTTCCTTAAAATGCAGCTTTTCCAAATCCACTGAGCCCAGTCAGCACAATCCATTTACTTGCTTTCATGCATGTTACACAGGCTGTTATCCAGCTTTGCCAGCTAAGAGAGTCCCAAATCTGAGCATTTTCTTGTAGCTGTATGTACAGCTAAGTTTATTGAGAACAAGACAACCAGTGAGGCTGACTGGAACATGGATTGCAGCTTTGTAGAGCTCCATGTTTCATAATAAAACCCTGCAAGGATCAACCCATCTCAGCTCCAACCTACTGCAGGGCATGAGAATAAACTGCTAAACTCAGGTATTGCCAACACCTGAATTATGCAAGTCTTGCAGGGCTGGGTGTCTGTCTTCAGCAGAATCAAAAATTTGCAAATAAATTTCAGTTTTCATTTAAAAACTTGAAGCTATTTCTGCCATCTTTTTCCTTAACCCTCATGACTACTAAGAAAAGCTTTAAAAGATTTAGTAGATGCACCCTAAAGGCTCAAAAACCTGGGGGAGAATAAGAAGAACCTGTTTGTCTTTTAAAAAGTGTCTCATGACTTATAAGGTGGTATCTTGCTCATGGGGATGGGTGGATCCGATTCATTTCTTGATAGCTCGCGTTTGGCAGTAAAGTTAACTTTTACTTACCTTGACATACAATTTTAATTTTTACTTTCCTACTGCAATCATGCTCTTCCTCATGTAACAGGTTCTGCTAGTGACAGGTGATTGCCAAATCTTTTTTTGGGGGGAAAAGCCAGAGCAGTTGTTTATTTACCTATTTGCACTCAGAGTGGGTGGGGAAGATCAGCACACAACTAACTTCCACAAAGGGAAAAAAAAACAAAACCCACAAACCAAAACTGAGGTGGCACACTTTTGAAATGCCTTGTTTTCTTGTGCTGCAGAGAAAGGAGGAGCTATTGCAAGGCATGGGAATGCAGGAATTCTTGTGGAGGAAACATCCCATGACAAACGAGACAGTTCTGCATAAATTCATACCTTCGCCCAAATCATAGGGGATTTTGCTCAGCCTCAATTACCTACTCTGTATCTCAGCATTACACATGATAACTGCTTGTTCCTTCGCAGCATGGTTTTCAAGAAGGTTTAACTGTCCTATGACAATGCATGTGAGAAACTGTTCAACTGAGACTACTAAGGCTTTTGTTTTTAAACACTTCAGTAGAGTTTCAATTGTTAAAGATTTTCCTTCTGAAGAGACTGATTAGCCTGCTTATATTCTTACTTGTGTTCTCAGATCATTAATTTAAAAAATAATCAAGGATCCTTATAAAGTCCTCTGCAATCCAATCTCAATTTGTCATCATTAATTAGTTCAACATTGCATACAAATGAAGACCTAACCTGATTAGACAGCATGTTTTACTGGAATTCCTACTTAAGGTCACGAAAGACTTCAGAGAGAAAATTTGTAATATTTTCAAAGTGAACTACTCATACATATGAAAACACCCTCTCACCAAGCAGCAGCTAGTATTTCTCTCTGCAATTTTTGGCCCTTCCCCCCCCTCCCCCCTTTAATTAAGAGCCCACCACAAACCCATTCAGAGAAGCAATCCTGATGTGGCACTCATCTCCCCCTCAGCCTATCCTATACAAATACTGCTGATTTGGCAAAAGGTGCCCACTGTCCTAGGACAATAGACCTGCCCCATATAAAGTCTGAAGAACTTGAGGGGAAAAGAAAAAAAAAGAAAAAAGTTTCAGGAAAAAAAGTTATTCCAGGGCTGTTTTGAGACACACAGCATTTAGGTACTCAGAGAGTACCCTCTCTCCTTTCCCCCACCTCTCAAAGAAGCAGCCTTGGCATCTACACTTAATTCCAGGTTATTGCCTCCAAAGCACACAGATTGGGAGCTAAAAGCACAAACTGGCTGAGAAACCTGAAGCATCTTCACAGGTCTCTAATCCTCCCATGAAAGCAGCTCTTGCTTTTAAGAGAAGCGACCCAGTGCTCTTACCAAGCCCACAACCTTCGCTCCCATGACCTAATCTGACATGACTCAGCCCAGAAGCTTGGAGGAGCCTCGGTGAAGCGTGCTGTCAGCCAGGACAGCAGATCCCCTGCCAGTCACCACCCAGCCTTCCCAGCAGGGCAAGGTGGGTCACCCTGGTTCATCCTCTCCCAAACACAGGAAAGTGAGATACAATGAATTTCCTTACTTAATCCTGTTACCCTGAGGAATGGCAAGAGAGGAAAAAAAGAACTAAGAAACAAGGCTTTCAAGTTTTAGACTCTTAATAAGGGTGGGGCCATCAAGTAATTAAACTTTTAATAGGTCACTGCAGTGGAAGAAACTCTTCCAGTTGGGTAAGTTTCTCATCCATCCAAAAAAGACGACAGGCATTAATCAAAGCGTATGAAGTCACATGGTGGGGGATGGGCAACTCCAAGCACTCGCTCTTGCTGAAAGGATGGGGCAATCGCTCCTCCTTTCATCAACATTTCACGCATGTTTCCACATTTCTCAGGACGGCTGCAGGAAAGAGCCTTCGTGTCCTTCCCCACCCACCCCACTGATAAAGCTGTCGAACACATATTGCCAACCACTCAAGAGCCCATGTGAAACGAGTTGGTGGATTAATTAGAAGGGCAGAGCTCAGAAGATGGAAAGATGCTCTACTGTGAAAGGTGTATTGATTGAAGGTCCCCAGCCACCACCACCAGGCTGTCATCACCCACTTCGAACGTACAGCATGCCGCCAGCTCCTGCACAAGCAGCTAAATCTAGGTCACTTGTCTCAGCACAGGGACACCCGGGCCATGCTCAAGCCCTCCCTGATCAGAGCAGTGTTCAGGAGCCCTTTCCTTGAGTAAAATACACAGACCTATACCTAGATAGACTACAACAGGTACAGGGAGCACATCTTCATTTGTTGATAGTGTCGTTCACATCGGGGCAAAAGAAAAGGAGGGGAGGCTAAACATACCTTGCCTCAGGCTGCACACACTTGGTGACTGTAGTCACCTAGGAGTAATTTTATTTATTTTTCTAAAGCCAGCATGTAGTCTGATCTTTGACTACGACCCAGATCCACATTAAAACTCAGCCTCGACTTCTACCCCAGAAAACCACTATCACTGCAGTGAAACATCTCAAACGGTTGCTTAACCTTAAGCTCGCGAGTAGCTCGCTTGTCTTCAGCTCTGCTGGAACAACCTACTACATACGTTCAAACCTCGTTTCAAAAGACCGCTTTCTGCAGTTGAAAGGACAGCATCAAACGCTCTGGTTCCCTGCAGCTGCGTTAGATAATTCTTTGTACCATACATATCAAAAGAAAACGTCTTTTCATATCTCCTTCAAAGGATGCTCTCCAGAACAGCCTGAAAAAATCCAAGGGCAGTATTTTCTTGCTCTGAGAAATGGAAAGTAGAGGTGACCAATGATTTCCTTACCTGAAAGGAAGTGAAAATAAACACTGCGTGTAGTGTAAGGGGAAAAACCTGGACATGAAAACAAGCATGAACTACAGCAGGGCATCACTCCCAGTGGACAAGGAAAAGGTGCAATTTCAACCTCACTTAAAAAAATAAAATCTTTCTACTCTTTTATGTGTAAACAAATGAAAAATTTAGTCTTGAGCACACCTACCAAATTTTAACCCTTTATAACACAATTTTCTGAACAAAGTTATTGGTACCAGTTTTCGACAAATTTGACTGGAAAAGGCATTTAAAATGCCAAGGATAAAAACTTAATAGTGATTTATTGTTATGTGGCATCTTTTTTGCAGACTGGAGCACACAGGCTCTGCTGCTTTGCTGGCAGTGGCAGCTGGGAGTTTGTTAGTTGCAATTCCAGCTAGATTGTATTTAAGTTTGAGATTGAAATAGTTCCTCAGATTAAAAGAGGAACCCACTATTTTAATGTGCTCAGCTTTTGGTAAAAAGTGTATCTTTTTACCGAAAAAAAAAGGAAAGAAATCGAGTCCCTGCTTTTATTCAGGTAGCATGGGGTAGGACATTACTCACTGCACCTCCCCCAAGTGCCTGAAGGAAAGGAAGGTAAATATTGAACATCTTTAAGACAGCAATATTCTCTATTGCAAACATCTCTTCTCTGGAGCCCTAAACCACAACAGGAGGTACAGCTCCAGCAGTGCTGTCCTGGGCTACAAAGTTTCTAGAGCTTGAACAATCAAGCCAGCTCCACCAGAAATCAAGAGCTGGGCTTCAAGTTCCAAGCTCCATACATTTTTTTCGGTGAGAAAGGTCCTATTCTGACAGCAACAGCAAAGTGTTAGTTAAAAAAAATAATAAAAAAAAATAAAGATATAAATACAAATAACCCAAATACCACAGGGCTGACCTGAGCTGGTGACACCGGGGCGCCCACACCAGCTGCAAGAAGGGAAGGGCAGGAAGAAAAAGCAAGCCCTGTACTCCACGGATCAGAGCAAAGAGCACCGCTCCTGTCCTGCTGGCACGGCTCCACATGTCAAACCTCACGCAAACCTACGGACGCTGAAGGCGTCCACCCCATGTTTTTTTCCAGTGTACCTGCTAGACCCAAATGGAAAGCCACTGTTTCATCACGTGTGGTCTTTAGGTGACTGTCTTTTTGCAAGGCATTTTATTCATCTGGGATTTAGCGATATTACTGAGGGTTAAATTCCCACCACACCCTCCCAGAGCAGCCAAGATAAATCTGCCCCTTCTGTGTGACATGCCATGCTCTGAAGAGGACACGGGTCACACTGTTCTTGCACAAGCCTGCATATATATCACATGAATAATGTCACTACTGGCATCAGGACCCAAGCCGGAGACGGGGCAAAGCGATGCTGCATCCTTACCGTCCACGTTGCTGACTTGGCTGTGCTGGACTGTTGAAATGATACGTCGAAGCTGTGAGGTCCTGGGTAGTCTGTGTTGGAAGGGATGGCTGGGGAGGGCGAGAGGGCATCAAAAGTCGAGCTGGGCTGGGCGTAAGGCGAGGGGGCCGTGACGCTGTTCTGCGCGTGCTCCGTGTTGTAGGGGCTGGTGGAGGAAGAGCCATTCTGGATCTGCTGGTCCATGCTGTTCAGGAGCCCCAGGTTCGTGTACTGTGGCTAGAGGCAAGAGAGATGCAAAGGAGTGTTACAGAAGCAACGTTAGCACAGGCTAGCTAGCCACAGCATGGTCTTCAGGATGAAGGATGCAGAGCATAATCTCAGCACCACCATAACTGTATCACACCAGGAGGAAGGAGATTTGCAAAGGATACACCCCTCTTGACTTTGGCAACTGAAATAGAAAGAAGTAAAGCTTCTCACAGTCACACAGAGGATCAACAGCCAAGCTGGAAAAAGAGCTTGCACATAAGGTGATACATAAGGCAGCAAGCCATCATGAGGAGACAGGCTCCCTATGTCTAGCAACGCCTAGACTGAGACCTTTTTGGAGGGATCAATACAACCTGATAGAAATCACCAGGTTCATTACAGCGCAACTGGCTCTAGCTTGTACCAGGCTGCATCATGTCTGGCAGTCTCCTGCTCTACAAAGACTGTTCCTCTTCTTGTTCGATCCTGCTATGCACGGTGACATTTAAGACCTCTAACTCAGGTAGTAACTGCAGTGAAATTTGGCTCACTGGAGAAATGGTTCATAGCACTTAACTAGGTTGCACCATGCACTCGATTCCCAGTGACTGGTAGTAGAGAGGAATTAAAGGTCTCATCAAGCAGCATGGAAGGCTTCCCTATATACTTAAGAAGCAGCAGCTGCACAGTGTGTAGCACTTAAATGAGCAGAAGTGGTTGTGCCCCAAAAGTAGCCTCCAGGTACAAACAACACACGAAACAATTGTAGGCATCAAAAATGAAGGCTAGAGAATGGAGTACAGAAAGGCAAAGGTTAGACTAGGGAGAGGTTAGCAGAAAAATCACATGCCTAATGCCCTAAATTCTACGCCTAGCCCAGGTCCCCCATCTCAAAAAGATGAGAGGGGAACAAAGTTCAGAGAAAGATGACAAGAAGGCTTTCCTGTAACACATCAGTAGATGATAACTTTTCAGCCTAGGGAAAAGACAATGAGAGACAGAACTCAGTATGACAAAAGTGAATGAATTCCTAAACAGTATGGAAAAAAAGCAAATAGAAAGTTAATTTTCATGCTTTCTTAATGGAAGAGTTGGGGAAAAAGAAAACATCTCGAGCAGGATTTTGGTTCTTCACAAAGCCCACAAATAAACATGGATTTTCTGCCACAAAATGCTGCAGATACTAAAAGCCTACATACATTCAAAAAGGCATCATACAAGTTCTGCTGGAGAAAAATCCAACAAGACAAGCATATCTGATTTTAAAATTCTGAACCACAAACAGTGGTAAGCTGGGAAAGTACTCTGGGGAAAGAGAGTTACACAATAAGTTAATATCTTTATCAATGATCTGGATGAGGGGATCAAGTGCACCCTCAGTAAGTTTGCAGGTGACACCAAGTTGGGAGGGAGCATTGATCTTCTTAAGGGTAGGAACACTCTACACAGGGATCTGGACAGGCTGGATCAATGAGCCGAAGCCAACTGTATGAGGTTCAACAAGGCTAAGTGCCAGGTTCTGAGCTTGGGTCACAACAATCTCATGCAAAGCTACAGGCTTGGGGAAGAGTTGCTGGAAAGCTGCCTAGTGGAAAAGGACCTGCAAGTGTTGGTCAATAGCCGGCTCAAAATGAGCCAGCAGTGTGCCCAGGTGGCCAAGAAGGCCAACAGCATTGTGGTTTGTATCAGAAAAAGTATGGCCAGCAGAACTAGGGAAGCAATTGTCCCTCTGTACTCCACACTGGTGAGGCCGCACCTCGAATACTGTGTTCTGGTTTTGGCCCCTCACTACAAGACAGACATTGGGGTGCTGAAGCGTGTCCAAAGAAGGGCAGTGAAGCTGGTGAAGGGTCTAGAGCACAAGACTTACGAGGAGTGGCTGAGGGAACTGGGGTTGTTTAGCCTAGAGAAAAGGAGGCTCAGGGGAGACATTATCACTCTCTACAACTACCTGATAGGCGGTTTTAACGAGGTGAGCATCGGTCTCTTCTCTCAAGTAAGAACTGACAGGACAAGAGGAAACAGCCTCAAGTTGTACCAGGGGAGGTTCAGACTGGATATTAGAAAAAATTTCTTCCCTGAAAGGGTTGTCAAGCATTGGAACAGACTGCCCATGGAAGTATCTAAAAGACACGTAGATGCTGTGCTTGGGGACATGGTTTAGTGGCAGATTTAGCAGTGTTAGGTAAACAGCTGGACCTGATCTTCAAGGTCTCTTCCAACCTAAACGATTCTATGAACTACCCTGTCCTTTTAATCTTCCAAAGGACCTGGTGTCAGACACAGAGACAGGGTAGCAGGTGAGCAGTACATGGGGTTCAGCCAGAGGTAGTCTCATCCTTGTGTGTGTCCAAAGGGCATTGTTTGTGCCCATCTTAGGGAGAGCAGCCTCCAAAAAGTTTCTGGTACCCATTCCCAAAAGCTCTAGGATCAACCAGGAACATGCAGCAATAAACTCACCTGGTTCTGCTGTTAGCTGCTGACATGGCAGAAGGGACTCACGCTCACTTCTCCAAGGGTCCAAGCACTCTATAGCTGCAGTGCCACTCAGAGCCATGAAGCTCATGTATCTCTTGGTATTTCAGCCAGTCTGCTCCCAACTTCCCACTTCTTTCCAACAGTTGCTCCTTTTCCAGAGACAACTTGTTACCAGCTAAGCAGCAAAGATTCCCTGAGTCAGAGCATCAACTGCAAGATCCATAACAAAAAGCTTTCCCAATACCGGGAATCCCACCAGCCCTACTGAAGCTTCAAGCAGCACATCATCAAAAGGGAACGGCAGAAGCTATCGGCTGAGCTGCCCAGGGACTTTGGACAAGCCTGTTAACACTCAGCTTGACCAGTCATTTCAGCCATGGAGGAAAACAGGCTGGTCCCTTTGCAACAATGAAGTGTCCTCCCTGCACCCAAACACTTTAAGCTCCCAGCTGACCTTCCATAAGGGGAGAAAGTAGGAAAATTTAAACCACTAATTAAAGCTGTTCCTTAAGGTTCTGTCTGTTTCACTGGAAGAGGCTGGTATTTTATGGGGTTTTAATTAAAAAGTCAAGGTGAGGCTGGTCTCTGAGGGTATTCAGTGAGGCACATGGGACCTTCCAGAGATGGCTCAGCTTGCTTCCATAAGCTGAGTTAGGAGGGAAAAGGTCTGGCAGGGAACAGCATAGGGGACTTCATGTTGGTAGCTGAGATGGTCTACAGAGAGAAGGGAGAGCTGGTTCCCTCCCTTGCTCTGCCAGTGACACACTGCATCCTTGGGCAAGCCACCTCGCCTCTCCCTCCACCCTCAGCCTACTTCAGGCAGCAAGGTCTGCAGGGCAAGGATTGCTCCTCACTATGTAAAAAGTGCTCAGCTTAATGGGCCTCTGTTTTGTCTGAGGCCTTCAGGCAGCAGAGTCATGAAAGCAATTACATATTGAGTCCTAATCCTGGCTGAACCTGTGACTCCGTGTTGCCTCAGGTTAGTCATTTGCCCTCCCTGCCTCAGTTTCCCCATCTATAGCAGCAGGGATGTTACAGATGCCCAGCACCCCTGTTAGATGGGCAAACCAGTATTTACGATTGGACTCAATGCATGATAAATAGTTGACGCAGGAGAAAGCGATCCAGCCTGGTTCTTCTCCAAAAGGAGATCACAGCTTTGGCAATGCAGATGACAGTTATATCTCATCTCCTGTGGGCTATTCAGCCAACCAAGACCTATTTAACGGACTTTTGGTACATGTTTTCCCTTGAGGCTAATTCCGTATGGAAAGAGCCAGAATGCTGACATACTGCACCAGGAACAGTCTCTTTCCTGCTTAATAATTTTGCATTTAATCAAAAAACCAAACCTCCCTGCCCTCCTGCCCCAGAGCACCCTAATAAGACCTACGTTTTTGAGAAGTCTTCAGAAGTATCACTCAGTTGTTTCAATTCTCATGGAGATTAGCATCAAACACACTCCCTAACCAGCAAATGATGAGAAGACGGCTGTGATGAAAACAGTCTACTAAACCAGCTCAGACATACAGACAGCAAAACAATAGTGTTTCAGCTTTCACTTAAAAACTATTCCCTCTAATCCCAGGCTACTCAAGATGACAGAGAAAGATGGCCAAACGGGTGGTCGGTGTTAACAAGACAGCACGGTCTGAAAACACTGAAGGTGTTGCCTGATAGTCAACTAAAAAAAAAAGTTAAAAAAAAAGGTGCCTCACTAAAATTTAAGATATCTTTAAAAGAATCAAAGATCCTTTTCATTCCTTTCAGTCCAGGCACCATCTGTCTAAATGTAACCAGCGGAGCAGCCATTCCACCACATTTATACACTCGCATGCCACAGCCGAATGCCATGTCCCCATTTGCTCTTTAAATAACTATTAATCTCCTCACACTTATCCTCGTGCTGACACAAGCAGCTGTTGGACTCCTGCCCCTCTCCGAGTCCCACCAGCCTCTCACCATCCCTGGCCCCTTCTCCCCTCCCCGGGCAGGTGCTCCATCCCCAGTGACAAAGCCAGCAGACAGGTTTGCACACACGAGCACCAAACCTCCTCTCCAAGCCATGCCCCAAGGCAGGAGGCTCCCAGAGTTGTTTGCGCTCAAGGGGTCAACATCTGAATTGCTTGCAAGGCTTTTGGAGGAATCAGATAAGGCTTTCGGAGGCACACGCCTTCTGACAACACAACAATTAGAGGGGCAGCAGGCCCAGGGGAAGGCACACGCAGGAATTCACCCTCGCAGCAATAAAACCCCTCCGCCCCAGCCACGCTGGGGACGGCGAGAACAAAGACAGCAAGGGGCTTGCGGGCACGTCTGCAAGGCATCGCCTTCCAGGAGGGGTCTGCGGGGTGTGTTTGCACACCCACAGCCTCCTTCCACCGTTTACAGAAAGAAACACAAGGGCATTTAATTGAGAAATTAGTTCTTGCCAGGTTGGTAGTCCAAAGTGTAGCACATACTCGTGTTTTGCTGCGGGGTTGTTCTAAACAAGTGCAGGACACAGTGCTGCCATCGATTCCTGGCAGAAGGAGAACACTACTTTGGTG